AGCTGTCATAAGTACAGGTTAGGTGATAAGTGGCTGGAGAGCAGCCACTTATCACCTAACCTGTACTTATGACAGCTATTCCTATGCCCCAAGTGCAAGACCTTGCACTTATCCACATTGAACGCCATCCTGTTGTCTCCTGCCCACTTCCATAGTCTGTCCAGATCCTTTTGGATCTGAAGTACCTGCTCCTCAGTTGTGACCACTGCTCCAGTTTTAGTGTCGTCTGCGAATTTGAACAGCAGATTGTTCACCCCTTCTTCCATGTCATTTATGCAAAGATTAAACAGGATCGGCCCCAGGACAGAGTCCTGGGGCACACCGCTTGTCACTGGCCACCATCCTGATGATTCCTCACTAATGGTTACCCTCTGCTTTTGGTCAGTCAACCATGCCCTAATCCATTGGACAGTGCATTGGTCTATCCCAAAACTTCCAGGATATCATGGGGCACTTGGTCAAAGGCCTTGCTGAAATCCAGGTAAACCACATCCACTGCATCCCCTTCATCTAGCCATCTCGAAACCTTGTCATAGAATTCCACAAGGTTTGTCTGGCAGGACCAGTTATTGCGGAAACCGTGTTGTGTGGCCACTAGATCTCTCACTATTATGAGCCTTTCCATTGTTTTTCCTACAATGGACGTAAGGCTAACTGGTCTGTAATTCCCCATGTCCCTTCTGCTGCCCTTTTTGAAAATTGGAACCATTGACCCCAGTCTCCAGTCCTCTGGAACTTCACCTGTACTCTATGAGGCCTCAAAAATGGAGGCCAGAGGGTGTGAGAGAACCCCTGCCAACTCTCTAAGTACTCTTTGGGGTAACCCATCAGGACCTGGTGCCTTTGTAACGTCCAGTGCCCTGAGGAGCCCCTCGACTTCTGGGGGGGGGTGACTCTAATCAGTGCCCCTAAGTCCCCAGCCTCATCTAATTTCCTATGTGGATATCCCCTGTCCTGCTTTGGGGAGAACACAGAGGCAAAATAGTCATTTAGCATCTGTGCCTGTTCCCTCATATCAGTCACTGGATCTCCTTCCTCCTTATTTAGTGGTCCCACTACTTGCCTCCCCTTCCTCTTCCTATTTACATGCTGAAAGAAGCCCTTTTTGTTGCTCTTGATATTCTTGGCAAGTCTCAGCTCGTAATCAGTCTTAGCCTTGTGAAGAATCCTTCTGCAACGGCCCCCCTCTCCCCGATATACCCTTTTGTCTATTTGCCCCAGTACCCATTTCCTATGGAGGTTCCTCTTGCATCTAATCCCTCTAACCACCTCCTTTTGCATCCATGGTGGCGCTCTTCTTCGCCTCCCCACCTTACTAACTAGTATCGTCAAGGCTTGTGCCTCCAAAACCTCCCTTTTGAGTGCCATCCACCCCTCCTCAACTCGCTTGCCTTCCAGTAACCTATCACAGGAGACTTGCCCCAGTCTGGCCTTCAGTTGGCCAAAGTTGGCCCTCTTGAAGTCCCAGCTTCTAGTGATCGACCTGCATGTCCCCATTCCCCTGACCTCAAAGCAAAGGATGGAGTGATCACTCGCATCCAGAGCTCCCCTAATCTGTACTTCATCTATCAGCTCCTCCCTGTTGGTCAAGACCAAGTCAAGAATGTCCCTCCCCCTTGTTGCCTCTCAGACCCTCTGTGTGAAAAACCCTCCCTCTATAGCTTCTAGGAAGCGACTTGACCTGGCGGTCACCGCCGAGTGAGTCTCCCAAGTAATATCTGGGAGATTGAAACCTCCCATAATTACTGTGTCTCTCCCCCGAGATATCCTTAGAATCTGATCTGTCGGGACATCATCCAGGGAGTCTCAAGTTGACCTGGAGGGCAATAATATACCCGTACTATCAGGTCCCTTTCCCTGTCAAAACCCCTAAGTTTCACCCAGACTGCCTCTACCGAATCCCCATTTGTGCTGCATTCTAACTCACTGCATCCTGTTCCTTCCCTGACATATAAAACCACACCCCCACCCCTCTTTCCCTTCCTGGCATTTCTAAACAGGTGATACACCTCTATGTTTACATTCCAGTCTTGCGTTTCATCCCACCAAGTTTCTGTGATCCCCACCAGGTCATAACCTCCTATTCCCAGGAGAGCTTCAAGCTCTTCCTGCTTATTACCCATGCTCCTAGCATTGGTGTGCACACACCTCAACTGCTTCCCACCGCTTCCTTTCTTTGGAGTCCCCAGCCTCCTCCTTCCTCCCATCTTCCCTGATACCTGCCCTCTCTTTGTAGGAGTCCTGTCAGTCCCTGCAGTACCTCTAAAACCCTGCTCCCAGAACCCTGATCCTATGAGTGCAACAGCACCCTCCCACCCATGTTCCTCAGCACACTGCATTTGGTAGTGTGGTCAGCATACAGCCATCAGGATTAGAAACCATTCACAGCCTTCATTCATTCATTCATTTAGAATATTTATTTGCCATCCTATCACGAAAGCCTCAGGACGGCTTACGTAGATGAAATAACAAAATATAACATGAATAAATTACCAACCCACACTGGCTGTAGTTATTTATTTATTTATTTATTTATTTATTTATTTATTAAAACATTTTTATGCCGCCCCGTTCGCCGAAGCCTCGGGGCGGCTTACAACAAAAAATTAAAATAACATTTTAAAATATATACAATAAAATACAAATATATAATATAAAACATACACTATAAAACAAGCCACCCTGGCCAAATAAAATTCAATAATATTAACATTTAAAATACTGCTTAAATAAAAAGGTCTTCGCCTGGCACCGAAAAACAAATAACGACGGCGCCAGGCGGACCTCTCTGGGGAAATTTAAAGTTTGGGGAAAGTTTCCTCTCTGGGGAAAGTTAAAAACATATAAGAGGCAATATTAAAACTTATTAAAATATTGCTGAAATAAAATCTCCCAACTAAAATCTCCTTTGATTTGATGAAATAAAATCTGATCACCACCTTCTTCATGGTAATTAGTCATTGTCTCTGAGGCTGGAGCTGCCATACGGCTGCCAGGACTACCAGACATGCCTATCATCCTCCACCAAGTATCTGCCCTGTCTCATTTGCAAGCCATCCAAATTGGTAGCCTGCACGACCCCAGTGATGTGAAGATGCATGTTGTTTTTTGGCCACAGAATTCCTACCTATTAACCTTATGGGATGACCCCTTTGGATTCCATCATGAAGGAAGTAAAAAATCACCAAATCATAGAACAGGAAAGTTGGAAGAGGCAAGAGCGCCACTTGGCCTTCCTCTTTCTGAAAGCCATTCAAGTACTTGTAGGGTGCTTTCATTCATTCATTCATTCATTCATTCATTCATTCATTCATTCATTCAAAGCATTTCTATGCCATCCTGTGCATAGCCTCAGGACGCCTCACAACAATCATGACCAGTTCTTTAAGTCTTTCTTCATAGGGCTTTATTTCCAGTCCCTGGATCGTCCTTGTTGACTTCCTC